GATTGGTGAAAACCTAAAGGTCAACCACTGAGAAGGAACCTGGTAAGTAGGAGCACTCTGTCCCAAATTATTTAGTACTTAAAAGACAAAAACCATCAAAAAATACACACCAAAAAAAAAGAAAGAAAAACATACATGTAGACATAAAAACCCCCAACACACTCTGAAATCAAAAGAACAAGATCTAAGATGCAGAGGAGAAAAACAAGCAGGACACAGGAGGGATAGGGAGGAAGTTTAACTAGCTAATTAGCAGCAGTGATTCTAATTCAATACTCATTTAGCTGTACATTGAGTTCTCAAGGCAGCAAAAGTAAGCAACAACTAAAAGACTTGCAGATCCTCCCTTGAACATCTTCCCCTATGGAAATCAGTCCTGCAGATGACACCAAGATCAAAGTTCCTCCCTCTGCCAAACAGAAGGATTCAAATATTATTAAAAGAGATGAAAATCTCCAATTTCTAAATGTCAGTCAGCTTGAAAACTTCAAAGTAGCCACTGGCTGGGGCAGGAGAGGAGTTGTGGGGGGGAGACACAGCTAAGCTGTGTCGTGAGCATTTAATTTTCCCACGTTAAATGTGTTGTGTGGATGGGAAATGCACAGAGAGACACTGCAGTCATTTCCAGTGAGGACCACAATGATCACAGATGGGGCTGTGAAAGAATCCCAAGCTGTCTGCTACCAGCTGACACACATTTTACAGCACTGGAGACAAAGAAACAGCTCAGGCCCAGCACAAGAACCACCAAAAAAGGAAACAGCCCTGCCCAAAACACTTATTTTTTTTTTTTCCCAAAAGGTAAAAACCAACTTTGCTATCCCTGAAAGATTTGTATGCAATTATCTGTTAAGTTCCAGTGAATAGGATATTAAAGAATTGGAAACTGTGAACAATTAACTTACAGTGAGATTTACATAAAACTCCTCCAGTAATTAGCAGCAAATAGAGGCAGATAAGCTTTGCAATTTTATGGGTGTTAGTGTGGAAAAAGTCATTTGCAATTCATAATGCAGGTCGGACACAGATGTTGCAGCTGATTGTGGAGCTGAGTGAACACAAATCCTTCTCAACATCAGCTGCAGAAGGTGCACTGGGTGAGCTCAGAGAGCTACAAACTCAACCCAAACCAGGGGGATATGCAGATCAATTTGGGGAAAAGCTGATGGGTGGGAAGGGAGGCTAAGTTTTGATGGAGTGTGTCTATCCATACCACCTCCAGTCTCAGCTGAGTTGGGGTTTGCAATACATGATGTCATTGCTGTTGAGCAGCAGAGACTCTGCACAGCCCACGCTGGTACAGCACACACAAAAGGCTCCACAGCTCTAATTCTCTCAAACAATTAATTAAGCCACACATCTAAATTGTGCTCTTGCATCTCTGCAGTAGCAACATTCTCTGTTAGACTCAGCCACTGACTCTGAACTGATTCTTGTGGGTTAAGTTCCTGCGTTGGCATTAAGAAGAAAAACTTTCACTGTTTATCATCAAACTGATGTTATTCCATCTAAGAAAAGCAAATTGAACTCATTCTTCTCCTAAAGAAAAGACACAAGGAATGAAGAGGGATTGTATTCCGACTTGGAAAACCAAATTTGTCTTCATATTGTCTATTAAAGGTAGATGAGAAACTGCCTTAGCCTTATCATGACAGAGGATGATGTAAGGACCAGAAAAGCTGCAGAAAAAGCACTGAATCCACTCAGAGAATAGTTGACTTTATAACAGACTTCTGGAGCTTGTCTAGTCCAAAAGGGACAGAAACAGCAAGTGCTAAGGACCTTAGAATCATGGAATGGTTTGGGTTGGAAGGACATTAAAGCTCAGCCCATTCCTCCCCCTGCCATGGGCAGGGACACCTTCCCCTAGCCCAAGTTGCTCCAAGCCCCATCCAACCTGGCCTGGAACATTACCAGAGAGCTGGACAACCTGTGCCTCAGCACCTCAGAGGAAAATTTCATCAGCCTATGAGATATCTCCTGCCCACTGCAGACTTTCCACATGACCTTGAAGGGAAGAAAGAAAACCACATGAAAACCTTGTGTGTCTCAGTTCCCACCCATAATGTGGAAAAAGCAACTAGCTGTGACAAAGAAAACACAAGATTGAGGTCTGTGTCTCCCTCCATGCACATGTACAGTGCAGAGGGAGAAAGGAAGGAGTGCAGACACTGATCTTGGTTGCAGCCTCCAAGCAAAACTGGAATGCAAAAAAGAGGAATGACTGAGAAGAAACAAGGTACAAATCCCTGGAGCAAGGATTCTGCATCCTTCTGCACTGGGAAAGCAGCCAGCAACATACACTGGAACAGGAATAGCAATAAACTGAATTCATTCTCAGAATGCATTTCAGAGATTGCTAATGTTTTTCTGAAATGAAAATAGTCACAGTCCCAGAACTAAAACAGAACATCTCACTCCTGTCTGTGTGTACATATATATAGTCTTGTTCTGATCTTAGTGTTCTTTATATGCTCCTGGTTTTCAGCTGGAAAAGAGAAAAATCCATATATTTTCATGTTTCACATTACTTATGGAGCTGGGAAAAGAATTCAGCTCTTAACCTGAGATAAAATACCTTCAGGGGTTTGGTTGGGAGAGAGAAGGAAGAAGGGATTAAAGAATTGAGATGTTTCTTATTCATGTAGAACAGTTTGGTGCTGAGGGCTTGGTTCTGCTTAAACTCCAGGAACGTTGCCCCTTGCTGGAACAACATTTTGCTGCACAGAAGAGCCTGAATGTTGTCCACAAGTCAGAATGAATCACTGGTGTATTGAATCACCAATGGAACAGAGAGATTTTTAATGCTGAAACCAGCACATGTATTCACCAGGGAAGAAACAGGGAGGGAATGAGTGAGGAGCAAACACAGTGCAGGTGTTGGCACCCTGAGGAGGAGGAAAGAGGTCCTCAGGATTGATCTGCTCTCCTGAGAGGAGCTGCTGTCATTCCCACCCCTCTGCTCCCACGCTGGGGCAACACAGATGACATCTCCATGGCCTATCCTATCTGCACCTTTCAGGACACTTCTCTTCCGCTTGTTAATCACCCATGAAATCCCTTTTTGTCCCAGCCATTCCCATGCTGTCAGAGCTCCATGCTAGAGCCCACAGTAATCCTTGGCCTGCAGACAAAAACAGCAGCACCAACACTCAGAGCTCAGGCACATCCTGACAGCAGCACATTCAGCAGCACATTCAGCCACCTCCAGCCCCTCCTCAGGACCTGCTAACACACATCAGTGCCCATGGGGACACATGTTTAGCCATGACCTGGAGAAGTTCAGTTCCCACACAAGAATGGACACAATCCAACCATTCATTAAGAAAGAACTTGGTGTCTGCACAGCAATCCAGATGGACCATCATGTCCCATAGGATGGTGAGGGATTGGAATGGAGCTTAGAGATGATCCAGCCCCAACCCCCTGCCCTGGGCTGGGACACCTCCCACCAGAGCAGGTTGCTCAAGGCTTGATCCAACCTGGAATGAACATTGCCAGGGTTGGGGCAGCCACAGCCTCCCTGGGCAACCTGTGCCAGTGTCTCACCACCCTCCCAGGGAAAACTTCTGCCTGGTACCTAATCAACAGACCACAGACCAAAGCTGTTTGTTTGTTTAAACATCCATTTGAGTCTCTAATACCAATGATTTTAATTTTTTTCCATCCAATTTACCCCTCCATGGAGGATGACACATGGGGATCTCCCCTTTTTCCTGAAGGCAAGGAGACAGATCCCTGTGCTGCTCATTCCCTTCCCTGAGCCCTGTGCAGCTTTAGATCAGCCTAACTCTGCTGGAAATGCTCACCCATTTCCAAACCAAAGGCATTTCAGTGCCTAACACCCACTGCTGGGTGGAAATACACAGCAAAGTTCTTCAAGTCACACTGGTTATTACTCAGCTGAGGCAAAAACTCAGGGCACAAAGGCCAAAAAACAGCTATGGAGACCCTACAAAAACAAAAGCAGCTTTCCCTTCTGAATGCATTTCCCAGGGACAAACAGGCAACTTTTTAGAGTACAGACTGAAGGGAGAACATTCTCCCAGTTTTTAAGACCTCACTTTACTACCAAATCTATGAAGGGCTTAATATTCTGCTCACTCTGGATGTGTGGGAGGACTGAGGTTAAGCTCACACATTACAGAGCCATGTGCTTTGCTTGCTTAACACTAAGAACCTGTTCGGACTACACAGTTGCCAGAGTCTGAGTGCCTTGAAATTAAAAGCAATCAATAGAGCAGGAAGAAGGGCTAATAGTGTATAAAGCAGCTGAGCACAGCTCTCTGCCAGCCCCTGCCCTCCCATGAGCAACACTTTCCAGCTGCTCAGGGCTCAGCAGGAGCTATACCTGATGAACCATCATTACTTAAGAACAATCTCCCAATCAAAGTGATGTTTAGAAGACACACTGCACTTTCCTCACACAGTTCTGGAGTGTACTGCTCTGCAATCAATACTGCATCAGATTGTCTGGGGAAAGTACATGTGGTCCTGCCTGCACCAAGCCAGGCTTGGCAACTTCAAGCTACCCAGTAGGGTTATATGCAAGGCTCAGACAAATTTCCTTCTCCTGCACAACTTCAGTGATACTAAAATATTTTTGGGGTATTGGTTGTCCCTGTGAGCAAAATCTTCACCTCCTAAAAGCAGCACAAGGCTGGAGAAATAGGTGGAGACAGAGCAGCTCATTCCAGCTGAGAATGCCAAGTGGCCTCAGTTGTTCTAACTGCAACCTTAGAATATCATGATTTAAATGAGTTGTTTTGGCTATTTAGTGACAGGACTAAAGCTGTTTGCATGTTCAAACCACCTTTCCAGCCCTGCACACTCTGTGGACTTCACTCTGATTTTTTAATAGATTACTTAATAACAGGATGTTAGAGATGTAATAAAACACTAAGTCTTTGCTTGCATGCAATGTGAGACTTGAGATACTTCTAAAATTCAGGATCCAGGTACTAAATCCTCTGTATCAAACCACACATGAGCCAACATACCCAGGACACCACTCTTCCATTGAAGCAAGGGAGCTTTGCATTGTCATCTGAGATCTCTTCCTTCACCACCCTGCAAAAAAAACAAGAGGAAGAAAATCGGGAGTTAGAAATTACATCAGACCAGAAAGGACAGTGATTTTCTCAAAAGGTCTAGGAAAAACACCCTTTTTTAAAAAAAATATTGGTATCAGCAAGTGTTTAATATGTGACTATTAGAACAGAGGAAGCAAATAAAAATGAAGGGTAGAATAGGATCTTTCTAGACAACCATCCCAAACTGGGAGGCATAAGAGTCATTTCAATCATTTTCTCACTTTGGAGTCTATCATCTCCCTGTGGTCTTCAAAGGTGTGAGGGTGATTAAAATCCCCCTGTGCTGCTCAGCCTCTGTGCCAGAAACCACAGCAGGTTCAGAGCAGATTTCTGGCCCCAAATCCTATACAGAAGAACACAGACAATTTGCTTTTGACAATCTCTAAGCTTTTTAAAAAAAAGCCAACCTGAAGTCTAGGCAAACTCCATAAAAATGTGTGGATCCACAACCACATTTCCCTTTATTTATGTTTTTGTCTTGTTGCTGTGTAAAGAAAAAACCACAAAAGCCACAAAGCAACTGAGTAGGCATGAAACAGTGTCAGATTGGGGGGGGAGGGGGGAAACTGGTTAGGAAGGAGCAGAGAGGAGAGAAGAGCAAATGGACAGTTTCTTTCCACCTTACCTTTAGAAAATTACAAATAAATACCACTACCATGAGCTGCATTTGC